ACAGCTCCGGGGCAGCCCGACGGTGCACAGGCTGACACACAGTGCCAGACGGTGCACAGGCTGACACACAGCTCCGGGGCAGCCAGACGGTGCACAGGCTGACACACAGCTCTGGTTTTAGGCGGGGGACGGAAGCAGCGGCTCGGTTGTGCCCGCCGCCCCTGGGCAGGCAGCGAGCGGCGGGGACGCCCGTCCCGCCAGGCAGCCGCTGTCGCAGGGCTCCTCAGGGGCTGCCGGCGGCTGGGGCAGCTCCCGGCCCTCCCGAACCCCTGCCCCGGAGCAAGCGCGTCCGAACGCCCGGGGGTGCCCCGCTCCCGCTGTCCCGGGCGGCACGGAGGGAGCGAGGGAGGGAGCGAGGGAGGGAGGAAGAAAAGCGAAGGAGCCGGGAAGGGTCCCCACCGCGCTCTCCCAGCTTACCCAGGAGGGGCGAAAGGCACAGGAGCGAAGCCAGCCGCCACATGGATGCCCGCACACCGCTGCTGAGGCAGAGCGAGCGCCGGCGGCCGGCCGCGCCCCGTCCCGCCCACAGCCGGCGGCAGCTTCCGCTGGGCGGCCGCCCTGAGCGCTGCGGCTGGGAGCTCCGGGCGGTGAGGAGCGGGGGCTGCGGCTCCTGTGCCGCGTCGGATGCCATACATGGCCTTGGAGTGCCAGCGAAGGGCGTTTGTGGTTTGTGGGCGCGACTTCTGGCGACGGAAGTTGTCGCGTTGCTCTTACCTTGGGGAGGTTCAGCTAACTAAAAACCTGAAAGTGAATCGGTTTATGGGGAGTGGGAGCCACGCAGATTAGGTGAAGAATGAATTTCAGCAGGTGGCACGCAGCTCACCACCTCCGAAAATGATCACGGAATAGTTTGGGTCAGCTGCAACCCCTCTGCCATGGGCAGGGACAGCCCCAGCCCCTTTTACTCCCTGGAGCCTCCTGGTGTTTGACATTTATGCTCACAAAAATGTCCACTGTTCTCTTCGAGGGACACCTGGAAATATCTCCTTTTGAGGAGTGGGCTCAAGGCTAAGACTGGCTATGCTCTCCTGTTCCACCCAAGGTGAGGTTGATCTCTGGGGAAGGGGAGTGAAGGAAAAGAAATAGAACAGAAACCAACTCTGACTTCGAGAGGTTTTCTTTGACACCAGCTGCTGAGCAGCCCATTCACAAAACTCAAACACACTTAGATTCTCTTTCATGAATGACCGATCTCTTGACACTGCTGAGTGGTTTTGAGGAAGAAAGGGAAAACCACAACAGTCGGGAAAATGTAAGTATATAGCAGCTATTGAAAAATTGCTACTCTGACAAATATTCCAGTGGCAGCTGTGAGTGAGCGTTCCTCTCATGGCAGTGAGTTGCTCTGAGTGGATGTTTCAAACCTTCTTTGCCTGCATCCCACTCCCCAGTGCATTGCCCCAGCTGAGAAGAGTCCAGCTGCAGACCTTAGAGCCCCAAAGCATGCTCAGCTCCCAGCAGCTTGTCTGTCTGTCCTGGAGAACACCAGCACAGTGCTGTGAGGGAGGTTCTCACCACAGGTTTATCTCTCAGTCAGATTTCTCCCAGTACACTTGGCTCCCACACTCACTGACGAGCAGCCATGTCGGGCTATTTACCATCCTTTGAGAGACTTCAGCTTTGCACTTCACACAACACAATCAGAAAAATAATTGGCAGCCATGGATATCTCTAAACAGAGGTCCTAGCAGAGTAAATACTGCAGTTATTCCAACTCTGAGGGATTCTTTTCTCCTCCTTCTAGAAGCTACTCTAAGCTCCTTTGACTCATCACTGAAGGCTGCACCATGAGCTGGAATGACACTGCATCTTGAGCCGAGTAATGCTGTCTCATTCAGTTCTTACTAAAACAGAATAATACTGATTCTTTCTCCATAGCTCTGTTGTAATGCCACGACATGTAACTCACAAACAGAGACAGGCACATCCCATAAATTCCTTCTGCTCAGTGACAGCTTGGAGCCTTTCTGTCCCTCGGTAACCTTTGTCCCCTGTGTTCTTAATCTCCGACAAGTGTCAAAGGGAGATCCCTACCCTGTAAAGCCTCCAAGTCACAGTGTTTACACCAGAAATATAACATGGCCATCTTCCTGCAGCACTCTCATGGCAGGAGCACATGTTCTCATCCTCTTGTCAGGTAAAGTGTCCTCTCAAGATGCCAGAGGCTTTGGATTGAATCTTGTTGCACACTGCAGCTTTCCTGTAGGGCACAAAATCTTTGAGGTTAGGAGAGAGAAATCGGAAGCAGACAGTTTCACTTTGAAACAGGTTATTTTAGGATGGAAGGAACACAGGTCGTCATCCACATGCACTTAAGGCAGGCCTGCGTTCTTCCTACTGAGCTGCTCCACATTGTACAAGATGATTTATGGCTTTATAGAGCAGAGAAACAGAGAGAAACTTGAACTGGAGACTGGTGCCCTCAACTAGGCTCTTCTACTTGGTAGTACATGGTAAGGATATATCTTCCTTATGCATACTTATACAGGCATACCAGGTGGAAGATCCAGGAAGTACTCAAAAAAGGCTCAGATGGCTGTTTTTCCTCCTTTCCTGACAGAGTACCCAAGCAGACTTGCCCCTGTTTTCCCTTCCTCAGTTGCCAAGAAAATCTTTGACGTTTACTTCCTGCTCTGTCATTGCTAAGACACACCTCTGAAAGCAGGAAGGTCAAATTGCTTTTTTGTTGAGATGAGAACTAATCCTGGTTCCTCTGTCAGTCTTGGAAACAATACACAGGCGTCTGCATGCTTAACACAGAACCATGGTTTCTACTTCACAGGCAAATGATAGAAAATACAGGAGCTCTGAGACCAAGTATTTCAGCAGTAAGGAGGATCCAGAACTTAATGAACAGTGAGATAAGCTCTGGGTGTATTTCATGCCCTTCTTCGAATGCAAACCTCTCCACAGGGAGAGGTTTTAAATAGTCATCATTTGCTTAGCTCACACATGGTTTCCCCCAAGGTCTGGTGCTGCTACCCCAAATGCATTTTTTCCAGTATCAAAAATTAGTTTTTCAGGCCAAGTGAATTTTCCTGTGATCAGATTTCCACTTGACCATTGGCTATTTGCAGTGCTTATATGCCTCTGCCAGCTGTTGCTTTGTGAGAGGAGACTCGACACTTTCAGCTGAGTTGGACACTTTTCAGCATTGGCTTGAATGTGCAGTCAGCACATTTTTAAAATTTTCTTTTTAATTAAAAGAATTTGTGCACTAAATCAAGGTTTTTTGCTTTCACTATCCCTGACATTCTCAAGAAAATCACACTGTGCTTCATGACTTCTCTGTAAGGGACTGTTAAAAGAAAGTGGTTTGGAAGTCTTTGCAACAGTGCTCCCATTGTCATTATAATCACTCCCTTTGGGAAGCAAAATAAGTGGCATTAAGTTTCTGAATTAATATAACTGTAATTACTCTGCAATTAAGTTCACAAGCAATAAGAAGAAAACCCTTTATATCAAAATAGCTTTACTTAGTAAGAGCATTTTAAGCACAGAGTAACTTGAGTGGCTTTTGCTGTTTGCATAAGGAAATGCCATGGTGTGCTGCTATAATAAGAAAAATCCAGGAATTCATTAAACTGAGAATTCAGATTTAGTAGACAACTTAAAAGACATTTATTTTTTAAAAAACGCCAGTTTTGTGCATTTGCAATATTGTTAAACACCAGGATGTTGTTTAACAACTCTGCAAATGCACAAAATAAAACCAAATCTGCAAATCTTGGCTAAAGTTTTGTTTAACTATAAGGCTGTAATAATGGTGCCTCTTTATATTACATGGCATTTCAAAATTTCCATAGGACTTGGCAAAGAAGGAATGGGCCTGTTGGAGTGCACAGGCTTTATCTTACAATCTAAGAATTGTAAGATAAAACAAGATGAATCTGGTGCTGGGGATGGAAAGATGAAGCATGGGCTGGAAGCCAGGAGATGGCTGTTGGCATTGCAGTTTTCAGTCTTGGAAAACTGACTGGGCTGACAAACTCGGGCATATATTTGTGAGACACTGAGGACCTGCTTCTCTGACAATAAGCCAGCTTGATCCTGGAGGCAAGTACTTCAGGGTCAGAAGGTATCTCAGTATGTATATCTGAGAGGATGCAGTTGGGGTGGGGTTCAATAGTCCTCCAGGCCAGGCAGCTAAGGCTGCCTTTCAGTGAAAACCAGAGAAATTTATCTCTGAAGATTTGGAAATAAAATGAACTTCTGCTTAAAACAGCACCAAAGCCTTCAGCTGAAACAAACTTGGGGTAAGGAAATTACTGCTATCACCAATAGTTCTAAAGAAAAGTAGTGTCTGATGCTTTTTGAAATATCTTTGGTCATCTTCCTGATCAGACTGAAGAAATTTCTTAATTTGGTTGTTCAACTAAGCCACTGTAGATTAGTACCCGGACAGGGAACTTTACTTTGCCCATTACCCTTCCTGCCATTTAGCACAGCCAAGGGCAAAGCTGCCTTGTCCAGCACGATGGACCAACACAGAGGATACAGGTGTGTCCTTACCTGAAAGTCCATCTCAGCCAGGAATATGGTACCTCCTCATCATCAGTGTCATGTTGCACATCTGGGTGTGCATTTATGCTTCTCCATCTGGATACATTAAAGTGGTAAAGTTTTTTATTCAAAGGCCTTTGTTAAGTATTTGCATGCTTATGATGCTGGTGCATTACTGAAGGGTGCCCCCACCCTAAGAAATGTAGTCTGGGCATGTTATGGTGATATGACCACCAGTTGCATTTTAGCCTGCCTTTCCCCTGGCTTTTCAGATGTAATCCACTGTTTCGCCTTTTTTAGACTGTTACAGGTATCTGACCAAAAGCAGAAATACAGGAAAGACAGCAATGCAGTAGGAAAATACGATGCAAGGCTGATATGAATCTTCCTGGCATGGACTTACTGTGAAGCCTTGTGATAAACCAGCATCCCTAGTCAGAGTTTGGCAGAAAGGTCTAGGTAGCAAGGATAAAGCACTGTAACTCTATCACTTGCTGGAACTGGTTTCACTGCCTGATTTCTGAAGTGAGAAGTTTCCCTTGAGGAAAGGGAGGTAGAGAGGAAAGGAAGGTCAACATCTCCTTTAACCAAAAAGTCATTGAAGCCTCTGCTTCAGATTTTGACTAATGGTAAAATAAGAGGAGAGGTAATTGCTTAAAATCCGAATTAGGTCATTTTCCCAAAAGTGCACAGACTGATTGATCATTACAGAGTCAAGCTGATCATTAACCACAGCTGGTTTTCCTCTGTACAATCCTTATTCTTCTATTGGGCAAACAGGAAGATGGTTGAAGATCCGAAGAGAAAACTGCTCATGGTTCTTGCTCTCCTCTTGCTGCCCAGCTCAGCACAAACAGGTAAGAAAAACATGACTGCCTGGCAAGGGATTGAAGGTTTTACAGAGAAGGATCTGAATTCAGTTCTCCCTAAACAAGCTGTATGTCAAGAGGTCCTGGCAATAACCTTTTTATGTTCTGGGGAGAAAAAGTGGTGCAAGAATTGTCCTTTCTTCTCTTATGCTTCGATTCAATCACCCTCAGTGATTTAATTCCATTAACCTGATTTCCAAGAATGATCCAGGTTTACCTGAAGAGTAAGGATGCAGAAAAGGGACCACTTGGCCTCTGGCAGTGGCATCTTTGCCACATTGCTTCAAAAGGTCAGCAAGTGTGATCTGCAGTAGCTGAGAGAAAAATAAACAAATGCCACACTTCCATTTCTTTCTTGAATTGTACTGTCAATGAGACTGCCTTAGAGATCACATCTACAGTCCCACATCACCTGCAGCTTCATTGCAGTGCACCTCCTGCCTTTCCTTTACTGATGATCCCTCTCATCTTATGCCATTTCTGACTCTCACTGTGCTGGTACTCGCCCTGCTTTTGCTACTTAGACTGGCTCATGACCTACAGTTTTTCCAAGCAGATCTCTAAAATTATCTCTTTTTTTCCTTGTCAGTGCACAGGAAGACCAAATAAACAGCAGTGAGGGATAGTCACATCCTTCTAGTGGAATCTGAATATTGAATCTCACCCCTTTGTACTGACCCATAGGCCATGTTTTGTCTAGCTGGTGTAAAGTATCTTCTGAGGGAAATTGGGAAGCTGATTGTTCAATTTTAAAATACATAAATGAACAATTATTTTATTATATGCCAAATTCAAGGCTGTTTTGCTTCCTCCAGTCCAGAAAGAAAGGTGCATGTATTGTTATTGCAGCAGGATTCCAGCTCTTAAAGTGACACTGCTAGTGACACGTACTGCTGAACTTTTGTGCTTGCTTTTTAGCCTAAATTTCCTCAGGTGTTTTACTAGCTACAGTTCAGATGTTTATTTTTTGCTGTCTAGGTCAAAGTGCCTTCCAGCAGCAACCTTTTCATTCTCATAAAGCATTTTCATCAAGCAAATTAATTAATTGTGAAATTATCATTGACATATTTTTTCATCAGCATTCTCATGTTTTATCATTGACATTCTCATACTTCTGGATTTTTAATGCAATTGTTAGTTAGACTTGTACCTTCTACTAAGCCTACCAGAATTTGAATACTCCCCATTCAGTGGTGACTACCTGTTGGCAACTGTTTTTTCAAAAATCTAACAGCCACCTCATAAATGTACTTAGTAACTGGTGTAGGTGGCCAATTTGCTTAAAAAACCCAGCGAAATATCACTCACCTCATGGTAAAACAACTCTCAGAAGTCCAAGCTGGGTATGATATTCATGGTTATTTCCCCAGACAGAGCTGGAATTCCCTCAAAGGACAGAAACAACTTTATCAGTCAGGTAAAGTTTCCAGAATTGCCTCATTTTCATTTATGCTAGATACTTTTAATCTTTATCAATAGAAGTGAAATTGCTACCTTCATTTTTGTGATGAATTAGAACGAGGGGTGGTTTTTTCCCATTGTAGAGACCCAGACTAAATGTGCCACTCCCTCCCTCCTGTGCAGGGAATACAGACAGACTCTCAGAGCATCACTGCACAGACTTCCAGAGAGCCAATTTCCTACGGGGCAGGAAACTTAAGGTCCAGTTTATTCTGTTCACTTCCTCAAGCCCCAGCTGCGGAGAGCTGATTTCAGATGATGATAGCATCAAGAACTGCAGCTTCAACAGCAGTCTGGAAACCAAAATCATCATCCATGGCTTCAGGTGAGAGAAAGAAGAGCACTTGTGACTAAGTTTTCACTGGTAAATTAAACACAGCATGAGTTAATATCTTTCCTTCTTTCTTCCTTCCGTTCTTCCTCCTGTCTCTATCTCTCTCTTCCCACATATTTCTATTTCTTTCCTTTTTTCAACATTTTCCATTAAGAAGTCTTCTTTAAGATTCTTGTCCCTTTAAATCATCTTGGATTGCTTGCCCAATAGCCTGGGTTAATGAGCCATTTAGAACTCCAAGCAGACAGATTGTCCTTCTATTCTTGAAAGTGTTGGGACTGAAGCTGTTTTTTTTAACTGCCATAATTCTGCAAACTTCTGTGCCATTTTTCAGTCAGGTGTGACCATATAGTATTATTTGTTTTGAAGTGCAAAAGCCTGAATAGAAAGTGCATAGAAAACTGGAATGAAACCATAGCAAATGCTGCAGGGTCTTCTCAGAAAGCTAGCTGTTGCCTCCAAGTGAGACAGCACACTCTTCACCAGATAGCATTAGAGGAACTGGGCAAAACAGAGCCTCTTCGGTTTCCCTGGAATTCTTTGGTATAGATTCTTATTTTTGATTGTCTAGAGATGAGAAAATGTAGCAGTGAAAGACCAGATGATCTGGCCAAGGACTTCCTGTCAGTGGCAGCAGAGAAGGATCCAGGTGTTCCCAATCACCTGACTTACTCCAGGTGGGCTCTATGGTGGCTAAATGAATCATCACAGAGAGAGTGAGATCTCAGCCTGAGCCCTGCAAATGTTCTCTCATTCATTAAAATATGTGGTTCTCTCCCAAATCAGAGCATTCTGGAAAGTGTTATTACACCACGGCAAAAAAAATTTCCAGGTGTGGGTGTCTGGCACCAAAAATAACTTCCAGCCACTGTCTGGCAGCCTCCTCTGAGACATGTGAAGCTCCAGCACCAGTGAACATCACAGTGGCATGTGCCCTGTTTGGGGAACAGCTAACATCCTTGTCTCTGGTGATTCCACAGGGCTTTGGGTACCAAACCTTCCTGGATTGAAGGGCTTGTCCAAGCCATACTGCACACCAGTCAGGTGAATGTGATTGCAGTAGACTGGGTTTATGGGTCTACAGGAGCCTATCCCTCTGCAGTGGAAAATGTCACACAGCTGGCCCTCACCATCTCACAGTTCATCAGCAAGCTCCTGGTAAGCTACTGTGCATTTCCAGTGCAGGGAGCATGGCCAGGCAGCTGCTCTCAACCTGCTGTATCCAGGAGTTGGACAAGTGAATTTTTTTATTCCAGATTTTTCCTTTTTCCCTCTCCAAATCCAGGCTTGAGCATGCTAGCATTTTACTTCTTCCTTCAGAGTTTTGACATTTTCTGGAAAAAAATTCCCAATTGTCAGCTGCCTCTCCAGTTCAGAACAAACCTAAAACCTGCCTTGGGTCTTCTCAGATCCATATTTACTGGACAGTCTTCTTCTGCTGAGAAATTTTGTCCAGGAAGCTAGCAGGAGTGAGATTTGAGGCTATATTATATTTGCTCTGGACTTCAGATGTACTTTCTAGTATGTGAAAATACCGAGATGTGTCCCATTCTGTTCATGCAAAGCACAGCTGAACAAGACTTCTGCAATCAGGGTGATGAATCCTTGTAAACTCTCCTTTAATGGAGATGTAATCCTTGTAAATGTAATCCTTGTAAACTCTCCATTAAATGTTTGCAGTGCTGACCAACCTGTTTAGGGCTGGGTTTGCATCTGTGGACCTGAAGAAAGGTCCTGAAAAACAGAAAGTGCAATAGCCATAATTTCCTTAAATATTTAGTTTCCCACTGTACACCTCAAAAGCAATCCCACATTAGGAGAGTTACAGAGCTGCTGGGTGGGCTGGGACAGGGTATTTCACCTTTCTGCTACAGAAACAGTCATTTGTATTACTGTCACCCTGCAGGCCCTGGGAGTCTCAGGGACATCTATCCACATCATTGGGGTAAGCCTCGGAGCACATGTCGGGGGCCTGGTGGGGCACTTCCATGGCGGTCACCTGGGACGGATAACAGGTATCACCACACTGAGTCTGGGGTCCTCACCTGCCCTACGAGAGAGAATGAAAGAGCAAGAAAGGGGAGTCATTCAGAGCAGTCTTTTAATTTCATAAGGGCTCACTAGATCCAAGCTTATGGGCTTCTTCCTAGATTCTGACAGCACCTTTCAACATCAGTCCCCTCCATGCTGCCAAAAGAACACAAGTATTTGTAAAAACGTCTTTCCATCTTTGCTACACTCTTTGCTCAGCAAAGTACAAGCCCTCATGACTAGTGAAAGCCCACAACACTCATAACCTTTGCTTCCAAATTACAGCATGCACATGTGGTTCTTAGAACTAAAGCCCACAATGCAGTTGTGGGGGGAAAGCAGGAGTGAGCTGCTCTGCAAGAAAACGTGAGCTGAGAGCCAAGGGGACAGTGAGGTGGGCAGTGGCCCCACAGACAAGGGATGCAGTTCTGCTGTGTCTGGGCAAGAAGAGCAGTCCAGTGACAGGAACCAGGGTCATCCAGAGTCTAGTTGGTAGTGATAAGGCAAGCCTAAGATCAAGCCAGGAAGTCAAATCAGGACCAAGCCTGACCAACAAGGCAAAGGCCAGGGCATGGCATCCTGACCACACAGCTCAGGCAAGGAACAAATGCAATAGCCTGAGCCAGCGCTGGGAGGACCCAGATGAGGCTCCTTCCTGTTCTCCCCCACAAGTTGGCTGTTCTCACAGTAGGCTGGTCTAATGTCACCCAACTGTACCAAATCAGAGCCAACCTTAAACACAGCCAGACTCCTGGGTGTGAGGAAGAGGCTCCACTAAGGGGAATTGCAGAGCAAAATGGTTATAGGTTAATCCTGTCATTTAGAGGTTTTGGTGCATCAGGACCTGTTCAGCCTTTAGGTGTGAAGCATGAATAAAGTTACAGAATCATTTAGGTAAGAAGAAACTTTGGAAGTCACACTAGTCCACACACCACCATCACCCCTCCTCAAAGTGGGGCTGCATTGTATGTCATATCAGACTGTCAAGGGTTTTACTAAATTCTGGGAATCCCCAGTGACAGATTCATTTTGATGGGAGAGGAATGTCACTAAAAAGGAACAGACAAAGTCTCCAGCAGTGTGGCCTCAGCTCTCAGTCTGCCTCAGCTCATGCTAGTCTGTCTCACAAAGGTATCCTCAGGAAGGGCTCACCACTCTTGGCTGGGCAGTCCAGAGAAATGTTGGTTCTGTTTTCACAGCTACCCATGCTGCATGAAATACAGGAATTTCCTAATAGGAAGTGAATTTCATGTTGAGCCCTTGTTAAAGCTGTAAATCAAAGTTTACATTAGGAGAAAATTGGAGTAGCCTTTGTCCTGCATGAGAATTTTGTGATCAGTGATGTCTTCAGAAGCAGACACATTTCCATGAAACCATGGTAATTAATTTCAGAGTTAAGCACTCTTCCTCTCTATGTTGTCCACATGTAATAGAAGCTCTGCAGATTTATTTGTTCCATTTTAAACTCTGCTCAAATACAATCCCTTTTCCACATTCCTGTTAATCCTGTGATTTTATAGGCACACTGGGAATTGCAGATTCCAGTTCAGTTTTAGAAGCCTGAAGACATACTGGGTTAGACCCAAAATATGCCTGATCTCATCTCCTGCCTCCTCACAAATTCCTCAAACAGGAATTTGACCCCTGAGCCACAATTTGCTGAAGTGTATGTTCATATTAGGTTTCTGCCTCCTCACTAAGAATTATATGCCACACTAAATAACAATTTTCAAGCTTTTAAAGCTTTTAATTACAACTTGGTCTGTGGAAGTGGGTGGGGAACCTCTCAGCTTTTTGTGCATATCAAGATTAAAGACCATTGCAGTCTTATTTTTAGCTTTTATTTACAGAAAGAACAGAAAAGAAGGTTTTTCCTTCTTTTCCTCCTTCCCTCTCCCCTCACAAATGCAGACATGCCCATTTGTATATTGTTGATATTGCCTTCTCCACACAGAATTAATGAGACTGAGTCCAAAACTGTGAAACCAGCCAGCTCCAAGGTTAAGTGGCACGTGGAACAGATGTGCTTCCTAAACTATTGTTGCCTGGGGAGTGAAAAAGTCTTGTGAGGTCACTTTTCTATAAAATGAGAGCAGGATACACCTCAGGAAAAAAAAAATAAAAATTAATCTGCTTCTTGGTATTGCCAAGAATATTTTCCTGTGTTCCTTTGAGTCCACTGAAGTTGCTTTAGGAACAAGTTTTAGACAAAAATGTAGATAGTTGCTAAAGACTCAATTTTATTTGTGGAGAAAGGGCTCAGAAGCCTCTTTGGTTTAAAATTGTTTGGTAGTATGAAACTTCTGTAGTTCCTGAGTTGATTAATGCCTAGGGTGCTGAATTCACCACCTAACTGCTGATCTGCAGTGACATTTCTCAGACTGTAGTGCTAATACACACAACAGTACAATTTGGGAAGGCATTAAAAAGTTTGATTCTCTTTCACCAAAACTCCAAGAGACACTATGCATCTTCTCTGTCAGAGCTATTTAAGGCTCCGTCACCTTTAGTTAAAACAAATACCAAAAGGTTATGGAACAGCAGGGACAATGCAAGGAAGCTGTAGCGGAAGTTGGCACTGGCAGAAACTATTCTGGAGCTTAATCGCTGAGACCTGACAATAATTTATTATATCTGCCTAGCACTATTTTTAAAGTTCTAGATAAAATAACTGGTCCAGAAATAAGAAAGAGAGGGGCTGAGAAGTACTTGTTGAGGTGTTTGATTTTGTTACAGCCCTGGATCCTGCAGGCCCTAAGTACACCAGAGCCAGCCCCGAGGAACGCCTGGATCCTGGGGATGCCCTCTTCGTGGAAGCCATTCATACTGATGCTGACAGTAAGCTGGCTTTCCCCTTCCTCAGCCTGGCCTTCTGTTCCTCCTGACATCATCATTGCTAAGGATTCTGTAGGTCATTGTCCCTTTTTTTGCCAAACTACTATGAGTTGAAGTTCACTCTGAGGAAGTTTCTTGTTAAGAAAGGCTTTGATGATGAATTCATACCCCAGAGCTCTTCAAACAACAGACAGGAGGAGATTTCTACAGTAGAGTGAATTTAAGCAGTACCGGCTTGGCATGACTTTTACTTCCAGAAGGGAGTTTTATAGGTCTAGCCTCACTTTGTTTTTTCCTGCCTGATGTAAGAAAGGTTCCACCCAGTCGGAAGGTAACAGAGTCAAACCAGCAGCTGGTGCAGCAACAGAGTAACTTAAAGCACTGAGGATCTACATGGGCAGAACATGGGCTAAAGAATAATGTGGTGCCTTTGAGTCACATCTTTTGCCTAGGGACCACAAAAACCTCTACCAAAACAACTCTCAATTATCCTTTATAATCCCACATTAAGACTGTGGTGAGTTCTCCTTTACTTAGAATCAAAAACTAGAGTTGCTGAGCTCGTGGTTAAGACACAGTTTCCAGTAATTTTGATGGCAGGGCCCGGAGCATTTTCTTCTCCATGCATCAAACCTGCACATGTAGAAGCAGGAAATCTGGCCTTGATGTCTCCAGCATTAGGGCTGGCTCCAGTACTACTAATGCTCAACCAATTATTGGGACCTGTCATCAACACATAGGGTAAAGCCTACCCAAGAGCCAAGCCTGAGAATGAAGTGGCATTTGACCTCCTTTCAGATTTCGGGATCCGGATTCCTGTAGGCCATATCGATTATTTTGTCAATGGAGGCAAAGATCAGCCAGGGTGCCCCCGATTCATCTCTGCAGGTAAGAACACTCTCTGGCCAAGCAGAGAGCTTTCATGGCCATTTAGCAGACTGTGAAAATGCTGTTTGGCAAGCAGCTCTTGCTACAGCCAGGGCAGTCAGTAAAGCGAGATAAACATATTCACAGCCCACATCTCTTCTCAGCAGTACAAGAAACAGGTGAAATTAAAATCACATACAGATCAAGTGTCTTGGCAGCACTGCTGTCAAGAGATGTGATTTTGGTAATGCTTCTCTGTTTTACAAAACCCTAGCTTCAGTAGAGGTCACACTTTGCAGAAAAGCTCTTAGCACTAACGAAAGTTGGTTTTTGTTTTCGTGCTCAAAGTTGTGTCTACTTAGAGAGACAGTTCGTACAATTACTGTCCTTTTCTTCTAGAGAAGAGGACTTTCCACAGTAAACAGTGTGGACTCATTAACATTCAAGTATGTTCTGTATGAGTCAGCTGCATTGAGGGTCAGCTTTCCTGAGATACCTACAGTACCTCATTTCCCATAGCTGGGGTTTCAGCGCAGGTGGGAGTCAAATCTGCTGCACTCCCTTACAGAGAGCTTGATTGATGGCCTGATTGATGGGACACTGACAGAAACAAGATAGCTCTGTGGTCTCTTTCTTCCAAGGGATTTGGTCTGAGAGATAGATACGCTTGTAACTTCCTGCAGAACTTTCTTCCAGGGGGATCTGGGCTTGTAGCCACATAAATGCCCTGCAAAATGTAATTAATGGGAAGGTGATTGCTGCAGTATGTGTTCCTTCACTCCCAGTTCCTTGGGAATGAGCAAAAAGCCTGAAGCTGACTGGAAGAATCATGGCTGCTTTTCTCTGGTTGATTTTTTCCTTGCAGGCTATAACTTTCTAATCTGTGATCACATGAGGGCTGTACATCTCTACATCAGTGCCTTGAGCCATCCCTGTCCCATCGTGGGGTTCCCCTGTGCAAGTCATCAAGATTTTCTAAATGGTCATTGCCTGGACTGTGCAAAACCCTTCCTGTCCTCCTGTCCCAGAATAGGTACAGTACCAGCATGAGACCTTCCTGGAACAGATGACAATACATTCCTGATGGTGTCAGTGCAGAGCATGGGATGTAGTCCAGATTTGTCTGAGCAGGATTTGCTTTGGATCTGTTTGGGAAGAGTGACAAGTTGTTTTGTTTTCAGGCTTCCATAAATGCACTATAAAAACTCATATATTGCCCAGAGTTGAACAGCAAAATCTTGAACATTTCTGATCTTTAAACATTTCCTAGAGTCCAGATATGTGTTGAAAGAGAGTTTACAGAATCACCTGCCAGAATGAATAAGGCTGTCAGCTCAAAAAAATGTCTTGTTTAGAGGACTAGATGAAAATTTTAGTTCAAGCCTGAAGTTCCAGTCTTCTACTACTTCAACTGCTCAGCATTGCTGAGTCACTTCCTTTTCATAAATTTCTGCCATGGCCACTCCAAAGAGGAATTCTTTGGACTGGGAGAAGGTAATAGGTTCCTCTTTTAGGCTTCTGAAACTGGGCTGTGGCATGAGGAAAGGAAGTGTCCGCTGCTACTATTTGCAGTATGGTACCAGAGGAACATAAAGAGAGGCCTTTTTTGGTATTAGTTGTCTCAGATCAGCCACCTCTCCCTCATCTCACCAAACCATTTCGCCAGTTATTCAGTGATGCAGGCCATGAGTTATGGTGGTTTCCTCATTTGACCAAGGAATTCAATTTCCCTTCTGTTTGCACTGTCATTTACCTCTGCACTAAGTTTCCTGATTTGGTAGTCTTTAGTCTTGCTCATTTTGCACAGATGCATCTGACAGCAAAGTCTGTTGCAGAGGAATGAAAAGAAAGCCACCAAGAGGTTCTCTGGTGATGATTACCTGGGGTAGCCAGAGGAGGTTTTCTGAGGGAATGTTAACCCGTCAGACACCACAAAATTGTACTTGCTCTGATTTGCACTGGTATAAGAAAGGGACCTGTTCTCCAAAACAGGGGAGTCAAGCAGGGTGAAAAAAGGTGACTGATATATATTATATTTCTGTTATATTTTCTTACTTATATTTTTGTTATGTCATTCATGGCTTTTCCTGCCCTGAGTTTATTTCCCCCCTGCAGGCCTGCTGGAGCAGGCAGGTGTCAACATGAGCAGGTTGCCCCAGGAAGTGAAAGTTTTTTTAATGACCAGTCCTTCAGCCCCATTCTGTGGTAAGTAGCATGAAAGAAAAAGGAGCCAGAGGGGTGTTGGCTAATGAGGCAGATCCTCTGAGGAGCCCAGGTAGTAACAGCACATTACCACATCAGAGTCAGCTGCTGTGGGCTATGGGGTCTGAGACACACCACTGAAGAGCAATAATATTGCACATCTCCTCCATAAAGCATACCAGCAGATATTTTAGTGTGGGCACAGCCCTGAAGAAGCACAGCCACATGTGTTTTCAGGGCTGAAGTAAAAGGGATTGAAAGTGCCTGTCTGTTCACACTGGGCTATACAGACATGCCCCTGTGCCTCACATAGCACAGAAACTTGATTTTCTCATATGTTTGTTTAATCTTTTCTGCTGGTGGGGCCAGGGAATGAGTGCTCTTTTGTCATGGGCAGGTCCTACAGAGAGTATGTGTCCTCACACCCACATTCTTTGCTTCATGTGTCCTCACACCCACATTCTTTGCTTCTTGCTCAGTATACCACAGCCTGGTTGAGTTCCAGTTGCAGAAGAAAAGAAACAGAGTCACCAGCATTGAGATCAGTTTCATCAGCAACAGCACCAAGGACACAGCAAAAATCACCATGTGAGTGACAGTGCATGCTTCTGGCCTGTTTTTTCCCAGCTCCATGAGTGAGGATGTTTATTCTAGGCAAAGCACAGAAACAGCATATTTCCCTGAGTGATGAACCACAATCCTGTTTCTTAAGTCCCTCCACATTTTCCTTAAATGCCCTCAAGAATCAGGCATGTGCTACCATTACTCAGTAACCCTGACTGGGTCCACATCTTTCCCAAGTGCACAAAGCAGCAGGAGCACCCTGGGAGCCCCAGATTTGCATATTTTTGTGTGGCTATGCTGATTCCTTTTCCACACCATACCCTGACCTGGCTTCACTTAAACTGCAATCACTGTCAGATAGTTATTAGCCCTGCTCTGGCAGATAGGGGTGGCTTACAGCAAGACCCCAATCCACCAGGGGCTCCAGAGGGATGGACTTTGTGGCTTAGACATATCTCTTGATGCCCAAGAGGGCAGCAGTTGCAAAGAGGAGACAAGTGCACTTCAGCACAGTCAGAAATGTGTTAGTACTTGCTGCCTCTGCAGTAATGCAGCAATGCTCTCACTCCCATTGCAGACAAAAGCAAGGGGCAAGTGACCAAGATCCACTGTGTAGACAGAAACATGCCTCTTGAAAGCACCACCCTCCACCAGACTGTCTGAATTAAAAGATCAGACTCCACAGCTTCCACAGCTCTTGCCACCAGGGGATCTCCCCACCACAACAAGTTCCGCAGAGTCTTCCTCACTTCTTCCTACTCCTTGCCCATTGCTCTGGACTGGGAACCACAATACAGCTAACACATGCTGCTGGCTGCCTCAGGAAGCAGGAAAGCAGCCTGCTAAAGAGTCCTAGGAAGCTCTCCTGGGATCACAGGGATCACAGTGCTGGCTCCCACACAGTCCTTACTGCTAAGCCAAAATATTGTGACCTACTTGTGTTGATATTGTGGGCCTACTTGTGTTGCTGACTCAGTCATGGGCACCAGGAGGTAGGGGGAAGAAATGGGGAAGGGGAAACCACACTCTAGGGTACTTTCCAGAGTGACGCAGGTGCTTGGACACAGATTTCCAGCCAGGCACCACAATTTGGGTTGGTACTCCGGCCTGGTGGAGCTCAGTCTGTTCAACTCCTGGTTTGGAAGCCAAATGTGCCTTTTTCACAGCAGGAGGGAAGAAATAGTAATGCCCAGGTCAGACCAGGACCGTGCAGCGCTTCCATTGGCAGTTGTCAGACACTAGGTTTGGTGGGAGTCCAGCAGGAGGCATGTGAGCGCTGGAGGGAAAGGAAGTGAGCCAGGCAGGCAATCCCGAGGCTTTGCTGTACCCTCCGCTTTTAATGAGACAGTGGAGTTAGAGCAGGGTAACCTATCCAGAGATGCCCTGCGGGGGGGAGCAGCAGCTGTGTTTCTCTTAAATGCCTTTCTTAGAAGCACAAGGCTAAACTAAAAAATTTGCTTACAGCAATAAACCTACAGATTTGAGAGCAAAAAAATGAAGATATCCCTTTTATTTCCCACTAGCAGCAAAGGGCAAATTTCCCTGCTGTAGGCAAAGCTCAGCCTTCCAGTGTAGTCAAGTTCAGAGTATCAAATGGGCATCTAAACATAGATCCTCACATCACAGTTGAGACACTGATCGATCAGTGACTTATCTCAGATGATCTGTCATGTATATCATCCTGCAGTTTCCCAGAAGTGCAGTGGGACTTACTTGGGAGTGTTCAGCTAGTCTCAGACCTTCAGCAAAGGACTCACATGGGTTGTGTCTTGCCTCAAACTGCCCTTCTCGTCTCCTCCCCCAAATATCCATTCCAGACTTACTCCTCCCTACATGTTGCTCAGAATGCCCCAAGAGACATGTCCCAAAGGTTCAGTAGCTGACATGGGCCTGATGAGTGAGGAGTTTGTTACACAGGACACTTCCCAGCTGCACTGCTGTGTGCTTGCACATCACATGACATCATCCCCCACATCCAAGAAAACATACCTCTAAAGTCAGCTAAGTCTCATAAATCCATCCAAACGTTGTGCAGGATTGGACCAAGTGTCAGTCCCAGGAGTGGCTCTTTCAACATGCTTAACTGTACTGCATTCCTCTGTCCATGGAAAATATGCCATAGAAAGATGGCCTCCATTTGCTATCCATTATTCACTTTTATAACTACAATTTTGACATGCTTCTTATTTTTAGCATCTTCAAGCCAGACACAGACACACAAAACCCAGCAACTACTGCTGCAGTCTCAGGGAGGGACTGGGTGTGCTGGTGTGGATTGGCTGCTGTGAGTGCTGCTGTCAGCCAGTGCCTGAGAGTTTGGTTAGCAGAATTGTAGGCTCTTCCTGACCCTTTTGTCACCACTCCCCTTTCCCTGCCATCATGTTGCTGATAAGTCATCCAGGTGGTTCTGGGACTGTGCCAAGCCAGCTGCACATGTCATTCTTTGTGAGCACAAGGAAATAAATGATCTCCATGCTCAAGGAGGTGCCAAGTAGATCAAGTGCAAGGCCCCCTGGATGGACTCCATAGAAGGGACTTAAAATACCTGGGTAGCACAGATCTGTGGCACACAACTCAATGGGCTCTGGTCATTGGCTCATTACCAAACCTCTGTCATTTCTCAGTTCACATTGCCTGGGTAAGAGCATAGGATGGACAAAGGTCCCTCTATCTAAACATCCCACCTTCAATATAATCAAAAGCAAGTAGCTAGAGAAGAGTATAAAAAATCTCCATGTAAGCATATAGCAATACTTCCCCAAAGAGTTTCCCTCTGTCTAGTTACATCTGAGGGACTTTCAGAGCCAAAGATGAGATCTTTATCTTTACTAGCTTTTGTATTCCACAAACCTGTCCAGTCCCCCTCCCTTGACTTGTGCAGTCATACAAGCTTCTTGGTATTCACACCATCCCAAATCAGGAATTTTAACAGCATGAAAGGAGTGGTATTCTGTGCAGTGGGTATTCTTTTTTGCCTGACACCTCTTAGCTTTCTTTGGGGACCCCAGTTTGTGTACTGATTCCCACTGATCCCCATCCATTTCATAGATGTTGACTTATCTACTACATATGCCTCTGTGGCAAGCTGAGCAATGTTTCAATCAATATGCAACAGTAAGAAGAGTTGGTGATGGAAGGATATTTATACAGCAATATTCCTGAATACAGAGATCAAGCATGGAGAGACAGCCTGTAAGGTGCTCATGCAATGCCTTGTTTTGACAAATGAGTCTTCTCACTCCATTTTATTATGTGAGGGCTTCCCAATAATACTGCAGATTCCTCCAGTGTTTCCCTGGATCTGCACATGGACTGTGTCTGCAGGTTGACTGAACACATCCCTCACATCGCTCATCCTGCCTTGCAGACCTAAGGACCAGGAGACAGGCAAACGGCTGCTGGTCCACCGAGTTCCCCTCTGCCAGATAAACAGTGTGACCCTGAAGTATATCCCCAAGAATCTTTTTTGGAGCAAGGATGAGCCATCCATTGTTGGCAAGTTCTGTGTAGCACCACTGCCTCTCAATAGCAGGTAAGCCTCAGCAATGTCATACAGGGATGCACTGAACCTATGGATGCAGCTTGTGGTTTGAAGCAGTGCATATTTTCCTCCTATTTAGGGAAACACTTAAAAGGTCTTTTCCATCACCTCTGTGTCCCTATGTAACTAATTTTGCATTTGTGAAAGAGAAAAGCTACAAAGGTAGTTTTCTAGGAGTTTTCTAAAATTCTTTCCCCAGGATAAAAGTGTTGTGCTATGGAAGGAATAGGGCTGCAACTCACATCACCTTGAAAATACTTAAATCACAAGCCATGGCAAAAGCTTGTACTAACTAGAATTCTTTTGTCCTTGTTTGCCCTGTCCATCTTCCCCTGTCTACAATGGGCCTCCATCTAAAACATGACAGGTGAACATTTTTCAGGATGAGACAACAGAGGACCAATAATAACCATTTTGGCATTTTCTAGGTCAGACATAGTAGAGTATATACCTTCAGCCATAGTTACCTTTCCTGGAGTAAAAGCAGCCAAGTCCTTCTCATCCTGAGAGAGATAATTGTCTTCTCCATAATACAATATTCTTGACAGGAGTCTTGCAGATTCAAAGTTCTTGCAGGCAGGCCAAAACAGCTGGGTCTATACTGACACATTAAACTGTCCATCCACATTGCTTCTGAAATGCTGGCTCAAGGCTGAAGCAAGCTAGTGGATACTTCAAAGCAGGTTCAAATTCTGTTTTGTTGGACAGGAAGGAGGCTGAAGTTCTAGGCAGTAAAAATATATCCAGTAGACCCAGACAGGGGAAGAAAAAAGACAATTCTATATAAATACCAGGTACTGCCTTGAGTATAAGGACTATTCCTTACTAGCACCTGTTGCACTCCAGAGTTGGGATGGATGTGTTTTTATCCCTTATGAATGGGACAGCAAGGCACATTGCCTGAAAGAGGTGCTAACCTGCACCCCTGGAAACACTGGACTTGGCTTTGATACAGACAGAAACTGTGGAGTTGCACAGGCTCACAACTGTGCTCTTGTCACTATGCTGGGAGCACTCAGAGCAACAGTGGTGCTGCTCAGGTCAAGGGGAAGGTGAAGGACATAAGCCCATGCCATCCTTCCAGCCAGTTCATCCCAGCCAGGGCACAGCACTCCTTGCAAAGCAGTGCAGGGTCCAGCACTTTGCTTGCTTCTGTGTTAGGATAGCAATCTCCACCTGTCAGTGCCCAGCCTGACTTCTCTGTGCTCTTCCCACAGCAGGACAATGTCGTGTCTGCCCTGGAGCCTCACCCTCCCCAGCAAAACAGACATCTCCTATGAACTGCCTGCTGCTTGTGCCTAGCTCTACCTTCAGGGTACACAGAAGCAGAAAGGAGTCCTAAACCTATTGCTGCTCTCTGCTCTCAAATGATCCTTTCACCATAAAACTGGATGGGTTTTGTTACTCCCTGCATAAGGGGCAAGATGTCAAGGAACAGAAGTGCATGGCAGATTGACAAAATACAAGGTTAACTGGTTATAGCAAAATATTCCAGTTAAAAGACTGGATTGACACTTTTGTCTCACAAGTTCTGTACCCAGCTCTCAAAGTGAGACAGGAAAGTAATTTAATCTCAAGGTTTGAATCTGTATGAAAGAAGGAGTGGATAATATTACTCTTTATATAGTGGGAGTATTAGTATAATTCATTAGTGTTTTATATTAAACTGTCCTGAAATCTTCCTATTAAAGGTAAGAGGTATTATTTTTCCTCAGCAAGGGCACATGAAGGAGTCATTCTTAGCCAGAGCTCCAATGGGAAACTCACTAGTTCCATCCACAAGGTGCTTTCAGAGGGAGACTCTATTGATTTCACAGCACATAATTCTCTCTGAAGCTCACATGAAGTGAAGCAAACACCAGGAGCAGCACAGAGCTCTCACTTGCAATTTTGCGCTGCGTTCACCATCTGCCTAGAAGATAGTAGGAGAATGGAGCATTGCAACCACGGGGCCACCTAACACAAATTAATCCTAGGAACTCAGCACAGCTGTTCAGACCTGAAAAAGTAGGTGAAGTCTGGAAATAATTGGTGAAAGATTACGGTGGATGCATGACCACAGAAACAACACACCCACCCACACCTTTTCCATGCCACGATACATATGCAAATTAAAGAGGTGACAAGTCTTTCATAATTTCTGCCCACAAATCACATCTTCTTTTGACTGTTTTCTCTGGTTCCCTGTACTGGCTTCACTGAGCAATAGAAAAGTGCACCAGGAATTCCATAATCAGGGTGAGGGACATGCTAAAAGCATTGAAGGATTGTCTCAAGTCATTTGCTGTCACTCCTGCTCCACTAGACAGTGTCACAGCAGGATTAGCTCCTGCTTTCAGTTCACATCCAAGATTTTAGGCCCTGCCTTATGACTGTTTGCAAGGACAGCTAACAAACACACACTTGGGAGGGGGACAGAGCTGGACTCTGACAACCTGAGAGAGATCCATGTTAGCTGGCACCATGACTGAAGAGTTTCCTGGGATCTTCTTGTTGAAGACTGGAATATAAGCTCAGCAGACACCTGTGAAGGGCAGTGTGTAATTCAGCCCAGCCTGGTCCATTGCTTTAGGCAGGTGTATAAGCACCTCAACAGATGGACCCAGTTCCACTGCACATTTCAGCTCCCTTGCAGAAGAGAGCCCGACAACTCCCATGTCAATCTGCTGCAGACATTTATGAGCTGTGAAAGGCAATGGGGTCAGGCTGAAGCACCAGTGCATTGACAGAGCATGGTAACAACCATGAGCAGGATGATTCCTAGGCCTGGGGCAGCCCCATTCTCCTGCTCTGGTGTGGCAGCAAAGGTGAGCAGTGCAAGGAGCTGTGTACATCACAGATCTCACATACCCACCACTCCAGAGGCCCTTGGCAAGAGTGCCAGATCCCAAGGGCACAGGTTTTGCCCAGCTGAGACTTGCAAGACCAAACCAGACGCTGGGCCACAGCCCCTGTGTGAGCAGGGCAGGGCAGGTGGGGCCACCTCCACCAGCCCAGGGCTGACACAAAGCCAGCCCCACAGGCAGAATAGCTGTGCCCCAGCATTTGTGTGCCAACAGGCACTGAAGGACACCCTTCCCTGTGCTGATGGAAGGACCAACACTCCTTCCTCTTTCCCTGAATACCTGCCCTGGAAAGGCTTCTACTCCCACTGCTCAACTTGATTGCACCAGGCTCTGTGAGGATTCTTCCACAGGTATTTCCAATTCCCTGACTGAGGAAATGGCTGGGGAAGCTCATGAGACAAATCCTGTTGCAGCTGGACTTGGAAGAGGCCTTCCATCTCTAGACTATTTTCATTAAGGCATTGTTCTTCCTACCAATGGCTACTCTCTTCACAGATGTTTTGTATCCATTCATTTCTTCATTTGATGTTTGAGCACCTTGAGGTCATGCCCCCTTGAGCACACAAAAAGAAAGGGTTCTTACCTACACCTGTTCCCAATCTCAATTCATTCTCTTTCTTATTTCAAGAATCAATGCAAACAACCAACCAGAAGTCTTTTTTCACCAGCTTCTTAGAGAAATTGTACTTGTCATAAATGAGAAATCCTAACTCCTGGAAAAGTAATTTCTGGACTTACTAGAGTGGAGGCCCAGTGAGATGCATATTATCGAACTCTCCATTGCAAGCCCTTTACCAAAGCTGTCAGGTGGCCCATTTCCCCTTGCCCTATCCACTCTGTGCCTTGAGATCACCTCAAATGATCCCCCTCTTCAAATCCTCCCTCCCTCCCTCCAGCTGTTTTCTCCCTCTTGAAATACTCAAACACCAGTAGTTTCATCTCTGACTTTAATGGGAATCATTGAATCAAAGGGAACACAGATTCTGCAAGCAGGCTGGTATTGCTTGCAGGATATTGGTGCACTTTGGTGACAGAGCTGCTGATAACCTTGGAGAGGCAGGACTAGAAAACAGACCATGGAAGCACACTGGGGAAGGCAGCTCTGGTGAACAGCCATGGGGTGGGAGGTGCTGGAGTGTCACACTGCAGTCTTAAGCATATGCTTCATGTGCTCCTGAGTGTGGATATCTGCTGGCAGACGTCTCTGCATGCTAAAGAGTGTCTCTGGTCAAAAACCTGTGTGAGCATCTGCTCCCTTGGAGGGCCTTCAGGATCAAAACAGCCTGTTGTTCCCTAGAGTTCAGGGGTCTGGGTGGGAGCCAGAGGGGCTCGTCCTTTGCAGAGAGGGTGAGAACTCTGGAGATGGTTTTCAGAGGCTGCAGAAGGAATGACGTAGAGGAGGGAGGAAAAGGGGAACAGAGGGGGGAGGGAGAGAGAGAGAGAGAAAGAGAGCACACCATTACTATCACACTTTCAAACTTTTCCAAGACACAAACCTCATGGAGCCCACCATGTTCTTCATTACCTGTTCTTTTCCCCTCCCCTCATAAATGAGCATGCAAAACTATGTAATTCTTCAACAACTGATAAATCAGGAAATAGGGCTATGCACCCATTCTGAGATGGCAAAAACAAACCTTTCCAAAGTGCCTTCGGTGATACGGGTTAAACAAAGCCAATAGCTCCTTTGCTTTTGCTCTCAAAGCAGGTACAAAACATTAACTACTAACTTAGATACCAAACATCCATCCACCCATCTCACCCACCAAACAGAAAGACAGCTCCAAGATGTAACTGTAAAAAAACAGGTAGCAACAGCTACACTTCCTGCAAGCACTTGATAGCAACAAACTAGAACAAATGCAATATGAACAGGAGAAAAAGCTGGTGGCTTTTGGTTGTTCAAATTTCCTGGCAAGGAATAAAGCTTCGTTTTCTCTGGAGCACTGAGATACACTATACTGTTAAAGCAATACTGAACAGAACCTTTGAACCTGTCTCCTTCAAACAGGCAGCATCCTCCTTAGAGAATGAATTTGCTCATCAGTGGGATATCACTGTCCATCTTATTCATATGCAGACTAGAAACACTTTCAAGGAACTAGATTACATGAATAGTAGGCCAATATATCTTCCATGAATATTTTCTTGCATATGACCTTCGTAGCACTTTGAGCATTCGAGAATTGCCCTCCTGAACCACAGTGTTGCAAAGTGGCTGTTGTAGTGACAGAAAAGGAAAAGGAATGCCACCCACAGAAACACCTCAGCACAGAGAATTTAGAGAGCTGCAAGGTGATTACCCACTTACTGGGAAAGGAGATGAGAGCACAGACCAGGGGAAAGCCCCAGGGGAACTCTGACCTCAGGGACTTTGAAGAATGACACTGCAGGGGATTTCCCTGTTTATATCAGATGTAGGAAAACTTTAGGGAAGTGCTTTACCTGAGCCATGGCAGACTGGCTTGGATTATTTTCTGAGCTGTGACAAGTGCTTGGAGAAAGGGAAAACCTGCAGCCCCTCTGTATCACTAGTTTTTGTGGTGAGGCACTCAAGTCCCTGTGGAATATTGTCCAGATGTGACAACTGCTGCTGTGCTGCTGGGATGTGATGTGAGATGTGATGGGATGTGCTGGGATATGATGTGGTTAGGACACACAAGTGCCAAGTAGGGCAACAGGGAAGCTCTCATTCTACCTTATGAGCACACTAAACAGAGTTTTTGATTCCTTGTCTAATTACCTTAAAAATTAATATACCACACTGTCTATTGTCTCCAGACTGATGGACATGGAAGATCATCTTTCTCTCCTACCTCAAACACAAGCCTCCAAACATCTGAGCTTTTACTGCAGGTCTCTGCTGCTAATAGCAGTACTCCTTGACACTATCTCTGTCACAAGATCTAGAAAGACAAGAGCTTCCAGCTCACAACAGGACTGTGTGAAAGAAAGAATAGCTTTTTGCTGTGTAGCAAAGTTTTGCCCAACACACAAAACTCCCCTTGTGTGTACGTTCACAGTATTGCCTCACTGCCAAAAATGGGTGCAAATTTTTCCAAAAAAGCTACAGTGTTACTTGCCTCCCTCCTTTTTTAGTTGCATTTGAAATTCTGGTTTTATTGAGTTTGATTAATTAGGAGAATTAATTAACTAGTGATCTGAGAATGGACATCCTCCTGAGAAGGCAAAATAGAATGAAACACAGGCAAAGTAACTTCACCATGTTCACAAGACTCCTTGCATTCACTTTGATTGCATGTTTTCACAGACACTCTGACAGCTAGGAGGATGGATGTCTCATAAGTGATTCAGTGTTCCTGCCTCTCCAAGTAAGGACTGAAAAAGCTGCAAATTCATATCTCCAGCAGCCTACCAGCAAAACCAGGGGCTTCACATTCCTAGAACAAATGTGGAGGTTTTTTTTCCTCTCTCTGCCTCCTTAAAAAAGAAAACAACGACCAACTACACAAAACCAAACAACCCCAACAACAAAACCCTAATCAAAACTCTTCCTAACTCTTTATTTGATTCAACCACAAACAAATACTCTTGTTCTTTCTCGGGCCACTTTCTTCATATCCCAGATAATATGAAGAATACTGCAGACTTGTCAGGGCTCATGCCAGGAGCCAATGCTCCCTGCCACTGAGTCCATAGCAGAGGTAGAAGTAGGTAGACCCAAGCAGGCACAGAGAAGAGCAAAGTGCAATGTTGCTGTGTTCAAGGCTGCCTGATGGAAGGCAGCCTCCCGAGCTGCACCCCAGCCCTGCAACTTCCTCCCTGCTATGCAGACCCAACTGAGACACAGGCAGGGGTCACTTCTAGGACAGAAATCCCAGTCCAAAGCTTGTGCCTGGCAGCTGGATTACTGTGGGGGGCAGCAGGAATGCATGTTTTGGGGTCTGCAGCTGGTGTGTAGCAGCTGGCATGCAGTGGATAGCTAAAAGTAGCTCAGGGTGGAATTTCTCTCTTGGCCACTTGGATTTGAATTTCAAGAACAAGCCAGTCTCCCATCTGTTTCTGTTTGCCTGCATTGTTCCTCTGCCCCAACAGCCACCAGGCACAAGAATGTTTTTCCCTTTTGGAGTAAGGAGTTGGCATTTTGGAAGAGAGAATCTCATTCCCACTCACTGGAAAGCAGAGTTTGGGACAGTCCACCTACAACAGTCAGTCCACCTACAACACCTTACTGATCTGGCAGAGATGAATCTGAGCAGAAACAAGGAGGACAGATCAAATGCTGGGATGAGCTGCAGTGGGCAGGGAGAGGAAGGACTCTGAGTTTTCTCCTGCCCAGACTGAGCACTTGCAGGGTTTTAGCAACTCCTTGCTACCAATCTGCTGTAAAACCTGGAGCTGTTTCTAGTCCTGTTGGCATCTCCTGGGATGTGGGCTTTCTCACCTGCAGAGCTCTTGCTCAGTTCAGTACTGGAGAATCTCCTGGCATTGCTCTATCTCATGGTCTCTCTGACCACTTGTGTACCACCTGCCAGCCTGGACACCATTTGAGTGTTTCTGCCTCTTTTCAGGGATCGGGAGAGAACTGGGCAGGGTAAGAGCTTTCTGTGGCCAGGTTACTGGCCCTTCTACCCCACAGTACAGCTGGTGCATGCAGTCAAGCCTCTGCCCTGCTGCTTTTCCTTAGGAAAACCACATAGCTTGAGCCCACCTTCTGGGATTCCTTGGGGCAGCAGGCCAAAAAACATTGCAGAGGAGCAAACCCATGGCAAATGGGGTCCAGTGCTCATCCAGGCAGATGCATCACGGGAAAGACTTGCTCTGCAAGTGGGTACTTACGTGAGGGTCCCACACAGGGTGAGGTGTGCCCGTGCCAGGAGTGCCCTCACTTCATATACTCCCCTTCGCTCACATAGTCCATAAAAGACCCCGGCAACTCAGCAAAATCTTCCAAGACAAGACTGGTGGAGTCCTCACCCAGCACATCACTGTCGGGCCGGGATGCCCGGGGGCGCGGAGCCGGCGGTGGCGGCGGTGGCGGCTGCGGCGGTGGCTCAGAGACGCTGGCCTGGCCAGAGCCTGGCAGCAGCTCCTCACAGTCCTCCGACTCCCCCTCGGAGGAGGCTGGCCCAAGGACGTGGTAGAGGCTGGGCAAGCGGATGTCGAAGCGAAGGCCAAACTTGGCGAAGAGCTTCTCATTGAGGGAGTAGAGCTTCTCTGAGATGTCATAGCCCAGATGGGAGGAGAAGAGCCGAGCGATGTAGCGGTCCTTCCTCAGGAGGAGATACAGCTTCTTCCTCGGCCAGGTGATGTAGCTGCAATCGGTCTCGGCTGTGAGGGTGACCTGTGGGGCAGGGAGTGAGTGGAGTAAGTGCCACTGCCTGGGCGGGGTCACCCACCTTGGAGCCGTGTGCTTCACTCCAGGGAATGCCCTTAGCCCCTTTGAATCCTAATCTCCTTGGATATGGTGGAGCTGGAGAGCCAGATTGTCCTGGTTGAATGACTGGATAAATCCTTACCTGCTGCTGTTTCCTCTCCCTAAGGAGGCAAAGACTCCATTTTCCTATGCAATTAGTATCATGTCCTCATTTATCCCAGCCACATGGATGTCTATGATTCACTCTCTTGCTTCCAGATGATGCTCCCTATTGACATCCGAGGGATGTAGCTGTAATGGACAGGGCAGCACAGACACCCTTATCCCTCAAAATGCTACAGAGGGGGATATTTTTTGCATGCTCAGTCAGTCTGAATTGCCAGCAAGTAGCCCTGGGGGAGGCTGCTGACCTATTCTGCTGCTGGATTGCACAGCCCCACAGGCCCTGCTCCAAGAAGGCCTTGAGTGTTGGAAGGGCCATCTGAAAGGCTTGTCTGGTCATCCTGTGCCCAAGGGACATCCTGTCTCAGCAGTTCTGCTGGACTCTATAGGGCTGAATGGCCTTGAAAGACATGGCAGCACAGCTCAGTGAGAGGGGAAATAAAAAGGTTTTATTGTGTTTGTACATATGAAGAAAACTCGTGAGGGTTTATTCGATTGATTTTAGAGAATGTTTCATTTTCCTGCTGGTTTTGCAGGAAAATGAGAGGGGTAAAGAGAGACCTTTTCCCCCTAAGTATAGAACAAGAACCATTTCAGTCAAAAACATTATATAGTATGTAAGTGTATATTATAATAAATAATAATAATAAAGACAAGAAATGCAGGAAGGGTCAGACTGCCCTGGGCCAAAGAAGAACATCCGAGTGTAATGGAGACACTGGCATGCGAACAAGTGCCGGAGCCAAAATATTCCGGGGGCTCCCTTTCACTCTATGCCCAGGGGTCTCCTTGGTCAGCTGCCATGGCAGAGGGCCACTGGGAAGCTGAACATGGCTTGGCGGCGTGTGTGTGTCCTTGGGTTTGATATTTAATGCCATTGCCCTGCAAACAGCTGTTTGATGAAAGAAATATAGGAGATAAAACCTGAGAACTTTCCCAGGCCAGGCAAGCAAAAAAAAGGGTCACATGGAAATTGAAATTACTGGAATCTCATTTTCCTAACCAACCTCTGGCACAGCGATCAAAAGTGATCCCTTTGTGTGAGGGATTGAGATGTAATAAGCAAACCTGCCATCAAACCAGGACAGCAAGGAAGATTTCACTCTTGAATCCCCCCTAACACAAGTGCTCCAGCATCAGCAAGAGCCTGTAATTCAGCCTTCTGGAGGAAAGTGCCAGCCCTGAAACCAAACTCCTTCAGGCACTGGAACCCAACAGTCCTGTGGGAAGCAGACAGCCAAAGCAGAAAGCTCAAGGAAACCAACTATTCTCGTAGACTGAGTCATGCTTCTGCCATTTTTCAGTGGGCTCAGAATTGAAATTGTTCAATCCAGAGAGTCACGGGCAAGAAAAACCTCAGGCAAAAAAAACCTTCCATGCCTTCCTCCAGCAAAAACCCAGAGTCCAACATGCACTTTTTAAACCAAATTATTGTGTTGCTAAGACAAGGTTGAGATAAGTTACAGAGTTTTACTACTCAGTTGAGAGGGACTAATCTGTTAAACATCTGCCAAAAGCAGCACCTTGCCATGGTTCAGCATGGCCACCAAGAGTAAGGTCCTTCCAGGTACATGGACTGGTCAAGTGACACCTGATGACTGCTGGTCTCACACAGCTGGTACTTCTTCATGCTCCTCGGTAAGCACACATGTCTTTAGGCATTTTCAGCATATGGCTTTCCCTACCTAAGGCTCTACCTCCCTATCCTGATGCCTGGCACAGCTGACCTCACTGACCAGCCCTGTCTTGCAGAGCAGGAGATGTGCCAGAGCATGGTGCTGGCAGGGCTGGTGCAGCCTGGCCCCAGCCTGCTCCCAGCTGTCTCACACACCACAGATGAAGACCCTCAGGAGGTCTGGGAACATTCAGTTCCACAGAAATCAGCTCAGAAAATGCTGTGGATGTCTTTGCAGGTTGCATGCCTGCAGTCAGCCATTGCAGTCAGCCATTTCCCTGCTTGAAGTACTGGGCAGCCATCACTCTCCCTGCTGGATTCTTGGGCAAATACAGCCCAGGAGCTAGCAGCAGTCTGCTTCCAGATTGAAGACCTGTGCAAAACATGAGATACCACCAGCCCTAGCACAGCCATGCTGTTGTTGCCTTTTCTACTTCATTACCTTGGTCCAACATCCCAATTTCTGCTCACAATCTGTAGCCCTGTGCCACAGTTACAGCCAGCTATCTCCTACAACCATAATCACTGGTGATGGCACTGTTTTCAGGAGCAATCACCATGAACCTTTCACACATGAGCCAAATTCAGACCCTAGGAAAGCAGATTTGGAGAGCTGCCCTGGTTTAACCAAGTCTGCTTGGGGCTACCTACCCTCATGAGAAAGCATCATTCCCTCATGACCCTCCCATGCTCCCAAGGGATTAGCAAAATCCCTCCTCATATGCCCTAATTGACATCATCAGGATTGACATCCTGATAGGTATCAGGCCATCCTAGGATGTGTGTTAAAGACAGAGGGATGTAGGCTTAAGTAATCTTCTCCAGAAGGAAAGCCAAAAGCTGTGGGGTGTTGACAGCAAGGCCAAAATCCTTTCAGTTACTGCAATTGAGAATTGGTCTGGCCTCTCAGCAGGGAAACCTTCTGCTCCGAAAGAACCATATTTGGGTGTGAATCATCCTTTCTGCTCCTCCACCCAAAACACATGACCACCAGAAAGTCCGGTGAGGAACAGGATGTTTATGGATTTACATCACCGCTGCACATTGCCATGGCTGCCATTGTGATGCTAGGACAATGCACCCTGTTAGCAGTGTGCAGGGCAAATGCATCAGTACAGGTACTAGAAAACATGGTAAGGGAAGGGAGCAGGCAATCTGACACCTTGATTCCCTGATAAACTGGAAGGAGCATGTGAAAAATGCGTATTTTATAGTTGGCTTTTCACAAATGTTACAATGAATATTATATGTATAATGTTAGAAAATTATGCTGTATTAATTCTCTTAAGTAATGTGTTAAATGTAGTTTTAGGTTACAACATAATGTTGAAATAGAAACTCTGCGATGTAGGATTTTTTCACTAGCTCAAGCAAGAGATGAGATAATCAAGAAACTTCACACAGAGATGAGAGTGACCTAGGGCCCATAAAGAGTTACTGCCTCCTTTCCACCTTCTCTCTGTCTTTATGGAACAACCCAGATTAAGGGGAAGAAGTTGACAAAAACCAGAAAAGTTCTTAATTTGCAAGGAATTTATGCATCCTATATGAGATATATGAATATGCAACAGGCTATTGCTTTTAAGGTTATTCCTTTGTTCACAAGGCATGCTGTTTGTGACTTAGTGTCCAAAAGCATCTGGACGTCCGTAATTCTTTGCTTTTTATTGTCTTGTAATTGTCCTAACTCTAAATTTTATTACTCTAATTGTATTACTATTTTAATTACCATTTTATTATTATTAAACTTTGAAAATTTTAAAAACCAAGTGATTGACATTTTTCACAAAGCATCATGCTCCACCCTCCTTGCTATCAGTAGATAGTAGGAGCATGCCCTGAGGTCTTCAGGTTAAACAGCTGATCACACAATCCTGTGCTGGATAAACCACCAGGAAGGGGAGGAAAGTATTCCTGGTCAGCTTTGAATGTGACCTCTCTACCTCCTTCTCAGACATGCAGCAAAGGGCCAAGGAGCCAAGAAGAGAAGCTGAGCTGCAGTTACCTGGAAAGTTCCTTCCTCAGAAGGTCGCAGAGACTCCCATTCTGGAGAATCCAGGAACTGGTATGGAAAGACGTAGTGAAGGAATTGTCCATCCTGGCACACTCGGATCCTGCAGGGGACAGGTGAGGCAGACAGGCTTAGGCCACAAAACAGATGTCACACAAATCTGATAGCTCAGTGTGTTCCACCAGGGAGGAAAGAAATACTTGTCTCACACATGTCTTGTACCCTCTCGGGACAGCTGCAGGTGCTTTAGTGATGAGGCTATCCCTCCTTTCTCTGTGGAAAACCAATTGCTGCCACTTCCCCATACTGCATCTGTGTTGTTTCTTGCTACAAAGACAGCTCTCACAGGTGCAATGCTTGGTCCTAACTCAGGACTTCTCAGCCCACAGGACTGCTGCTTTCTAGGTACTTCTAAGCCAGCCTGTGGCTCTTTGTATCTTCCTCCAGCCTCCAGGATTGCATGAGGGCATTTCCAGTATTGGGAAGTCATTACACTCAGGATCCCACAAAATCCTACTGCCCATGGTTCCTCACAGATCACCTTGAGAGCTCATATTTTGCTGCACGTTACCACTCACTTTCTCTTGGCCTTCCAAGTATTCTTTTTGCCTACTTTTGATACAATTGCCTGCCAGGTCAAGGTCAAACATGCACTGAGCTCTGCTGTGGGAATAGAGAAGGACCTGCACAGGCCTGAAGCAAGGACAATGCCAGGGCACTCTGGAGTTCTATTCATAGCTCTGCATCACCAGACCTGGGGCCTCTTGCTTTCCTGTCACCATGTACCCCTGTTGTATGATGCACAAAGGCAATTCTTGCCTTCAGGAGTTAAAAGATTTTGTTCCCCTTTGGCTTCTAATCCGCTGTCAGTGCTGCCTGGAAGGCTCAGGGATTGTAAGGCACATTTCCCAGTCCAGGCATATTCTGCATTTCTAAGACCCCACTTGCTCAGTTTAAGAAAGAGCACCATAACAGCAATGCTCTGCTGGTCAACATGGATCTCACAAGGCAATAGAGTGGATACTAGGAAATGTAAATCCACTCCTATCTCCATGGAGCATCCTTTACTTCCTACTGCAAAAGAGAGCCCAACAACTGCTCACCATCACCATCTTACTGTCTGTTGCAGTACTTTCATGCCCACAGAGTAGCATCACATTATCCAGTGCAGGTCAAGACAGCACAGAGTCTTCCCCATCAATATTATTTACAGATGCAGTAAATTTCAGAGCCAGCTGCTTACCAGAGATGTTTGGTATGGTGAAGTGCTACTGGAAACACACATACCAAATATCCCTCCAGTGCTTTACCATTCAACAACCTGATGTACCCAGGGTGCTCTTAACACGTCTCAGAAAAGCGATCAACATCAAAAAAAGGAAGGTCACAAAGAAGGTTCTTCTTTGCACACTCCCTCACCAGAAAGGATTGGCCACTGCAGTAGAACAAGAGACCAAGGTGATGCTTTGTATTCCCAAAGGAAAATCCTTGTGAGACACACCTCCTGCAGCTCAGCACTGCTCCTGTTTAGAGATCTTCTTCCTTTCCCATTCTTATGTAACATTAGTGCCAAGTCTCTGGCAGCAGGCTGGAAGCCAACACTATTGCTATTTGTATGCATCTGGATTTTGCAAATCCAGTTAAGTGGATATGCTGCTAAAGGCATGCCACAGGATCTCAGGTGAACAAATGCCAGTACTTGATCAGCACAGTTCATTCAATCAAATCTCCAGTGTGACTCTCTAGAGGTCCCTGAGGTTCTCCTTGGTGGTCCAGAAGAAGGAATATCACAAATGCTTGACAGCACAGGGAAAGAAAGACACCTGATTAGGCAGGATCCACCACAGGAAAATACTCTCTTTTGATGAAAAGGTGCTCAAAGTGAAAAATGTCAAAGCCCTGAGGGTTGGGGTGTTGGGAACAGGAGGGCTGGGGTGTTGGGAACAGGAAAGTCTCCCTGATCACTGCTGGCCAGGGAGAGTTGGTGAACTGAGGCCTCAGCACTCAGCATACTCAGCACACAGCTCATTACATCACAGAGGTGTGCTGGGTACCACCAGAGGTCCACAGGTACAGAAACACTGTTTTTCTGCCTTGAGAAACACATTCCCACAGCCATTCTGCTCCCATCAGAAATAAGATCACTTCAAAATGACAGACAAAGGGGTAAGGATTCATCAAAAGTATCACAGGTAAGGCTGAGCTGGCCACTTCATTGCATCCCCTGAAATACTGTTAAGTTAGAAACACAAAACAAAACTAAAACCCTAAAAAACAAATAATATTCCCCTTCCCCAACAAACTGATGCATAACTCAGATCCTTTTCAGAGGAAGAAAACAATCCTCACCCCAGTTTTGGACAGAGGGTGATAATACAACAATAAGGCACAGCAGTTTGCTATCACACTTTGTTCAGAAATGGGAGAGCCTTTACCTGCCAGACAGCAGCAACGAGAGGCGGTCAATGGGTGTCTTGCCTTCCACTGCGTAATTCTGGTCTCTGACTAGTGACTGGACCTGCTCTTCACAGCACTTCACGATTTCTTTGTAGACTTCCAGGGGCACCTGCAAGGGCAGGTACATGGTCTTGTAGAGGAGGTCAAACTCTTCTGGGATGGTGTTTCTGCGGAGCCGGTAAGCCAGATGAGCCAGCTGAAGCAAGCAGGCGAGGACCAGCAGCATGTTCCAGATGAAGATGTCCAGCCCACAAGCGCTCAGCCAGCCCCACAGAGCATAGCAGAAGTAGCCTGGGGCCAGGAGGCCAAAGATATAGAGGGACCCAAAGATGCCACTTCCCCCCATGTAACCCAGGAGGACAATGCAGCTGGCCAGCTGGTAGGCTGCTTCCTCCATAATCTCTTTCCAGGCATCACACACTGGAGGCTGGAGAACAGCCTGGTCCCAAGAGGGGCTCTTTGCGCTCATCCTGCCCCACTCCCTACCCTCCCCAGCCGTCCTGCGCTCAGAATTAATTGTCATACACAAAGAGTGCTGCAGACGTTGGAAACCAGAGCTGCTGGGTAGCTCTTCCTCCTCCTCTTCCTCTTGTGCACCGTCTGATCCCACAGCAGTGCTTCAAAGTAACATGCTAAAAAAGTGCTACTGAATGTTTTTGCACCCGAAAAATTCCAAAAGCATTTGCTTCTTCTCTTTGTGGCTCACTAAGCGTCGGCTGGCTCCCTTCTTATCCACAACAGTGAGAAAAGAATCTGGCAAACGTGAGGCCAAAAGAGCTCTGTCAGAAAAAGAGTCGAGGCCATTAGCTGGAAAACTCAAAGACAGGACAGAGATCTCCTTGCACTGCCTGTCCCGCCTGCGCTGCAGCAAATGGAATAGCGACCGTGAGAGAGCAGCAGAGGGAGCTGGTGTTGAGTGTGGAATGTGTATCTCTTGGCAGTGGAACGGAGAGAGACCCCAAATGGATAACCATGTTTGGAATTGAAATCCAAGGAGCAATAGCAGTGAGGAGAATAGACAGCAAGCATGCACCCGCTACTTAACATACCTCAGGCAGCCAGATAAGCCCAGCGCAGCGTGAGGAGGGGAAAGGAGAAGGGAAAACAACCAGCTTATCGTGGCGAGCTCCAGTCACACATCGGGCTCTCCCCTGCTCTGCACTCCTGCAAGAGAGCGACTTTCACCCAGCACAAAGAAAAAGGTCACCCCCTTTTCTCACTGTGGTTCATAACTATGACAAGGACTTAGCAAAGGAAGAGAGGCTGGTAATTTCCAGGTCCATTACAGCCTTCCCTTACTCCAGGGAGCTTCCTTTCATGGGGTGTTTTAGATCAAGGGGCACAAGGAAAAGCTTTGCACAGCCAGAGAACTGTGAATGCAAGGAATAAAACTAGAGCAAATGAGCCTCTGGACCTCAGTTTCATCTATCATGAAGACGAGACTATCCTGCTTGCCAAAAGCTTTGTGAGCGTATAACACTTGGAAGCACATTTTGTGGAGAAATCCTAGTTGAGGAATTACAGGCTCTGTTGGGAAGCACCCTTGAGAAACATCATCTCACATTCTCATTTTTCTAATAGCTGTTTAGAACCGGCCCCAGACCTTCATTTAGCCCAAAGACGACAGCCAACACTTTCCACTCAGGTAGCCCAGGACACAGGCACAAGAGAGAGCCTTTGAGGTCAGTCCTCCATGGTCAGCTACACAAAACACGCATAAATGCAATTCCTCCCCTGCTTCAAGTAATTATCAGTCACACAGGCAGGATCTGCCCCACTGCCAGGATGCAGTTACATTTCAGGCATTGACGCAACCCACGTGGTCTCCCATCACAGTATGAAGTCAGCCTGCATGGGTCAGTGGGGTAGAGATAGGGTTTCAAGGGTGGTCGTGTTTCAGACCGAGCTTGCAGCTGCCCTGCCTAACATGCCATTCCCATTGGCACCATTCAGTTAAAGACACACTGATCGCCTCTCCTAACTAATAGTACTCTGGAATAACTCTGTCTCCCAGGCAAGGCTGCAGCAATGCTTTATGGCAACCTTCAAGAATTTATAGAGGTCTTGGCCAGTACAATCTTATTTCTGCAATGATGAGGCCACGCGCAATACAGAGCTGCATGGCTCCTAAGAGCCATCCTGGCAGGTTGACATGCGGGAAGGAAAGAAGACAAATTAAACTTGCACAGGGTGAGCACAGTCCATTCAGAAAGGTGCTTTCTGTTAAGGGTAAAGTGAAATAGGGAAACTGGTCTTCAGAGGCCCCTTAACTAGGTGAAGAAATAAATGCTATCTACTGAAGCAGAACAGCACTCATCTGCAAGAGTTATGGGGAAATTAAGAACTTTCTCTTGACCGTCTCTGCAAAGGAGGACAGATGATCTTACTGCTAAAGCACCACAATAAAAATCTTGGGATCCAGGTTCTGTTTTTCATACCATTGCCATATACTTGCTATATGATCCCGACAACACCTTGTCTACCTTTAGACCTGCAAAAAAACCACAAGGAGCCTTCTCTCCAAGATAGGCTGACAGCTGATAAAATTGAGAGTTGGGATATCAAGATTGTGAGCACTTAGGAAAAAGATACTTTACATAAGATCTGTGAGACAAAACTGAACTGCTATGAGAAGAAATGTAGAACTACATTAGAGGAAGCATCCTGAGAAGCACCACTGCAATTTCTCCTACCTTTTCATACTACCAAAACCCTTTTGCAGGGGCATCAAAGAAAGTGGGGAAAAAAGGAAGTTAATAATTTCATTCTTCTGTTAGGTAAATTCCTGAGTAAAAAATAAACTGGAACACAGTGTTAATGACTCATTAGGACAAGAAAGACCTTCATCTGACATCTTCCAGAACGCAAATAGTGGTGTTGCAGCGATGCAGTGAAGCACTGTGGGTGAGGATGACCTGTTGTGGTTTCTCTGTGAAAGGCAGACAGGAAGCTTTCAACCCACGGCAATAACGGCACAAAGCACTCATTAGAAACTACACAATTTTCCTGCTGCGTCCCAATGTGACATTGTAGAGAAAATGATACAGCACTCTAAAAGGTAGATCTCAGAACACACACTAGAGATTAACTTTGTGTTTTCAGACTCAAATTTCTAAAAGGAAGATTTGTAAAGTGATTGAACCACCAACACTAAATCTTCCTTTCTGCCTTGACAGTACCATGGCCATACAGATCATCTTTACAGCATTCTGTTTTCCACCCAGCAAAAGTAAAAACTCTCTTATTACCAAAGAGATATTTTATTTTCATGCCTTGCTTTAGCATAAATGCCCTTCATCCAGGGATGCTGGTTCCTCCAGGATGAGTATTAAAAAGCCAATACTGATTCAATGGGAAAGGGACATACCAAAGCTGAAAACAATTTGGAATGAAGATGGCAAGTTCATAGAAAACACCTGAGCAGCATTAACACCCTTCCCTGGAAGTAAATACATAACCATTACTATAAAATGTGTTTGTGAAAAACAGAAACACACGTGTCAAGCTCTTCAGCACTGAAACAGGCAGTGTGGAAACAGGTACTTCACTGATTTCCCCACTTATAATGGACTCAACCAGTAGCACTTAATATTTAGCTCCATGTGATGATGCAACACACGTACAGCCTGCACTATGTTTGGCAAACAAATCCTCTGTCCTTGAGAGCCATACAACACAGAGATTATCAGTCCCAAATCTCACAGCAGCTGAATGACAGGTTATTTTGCCCATCCTTTAGGAAGTCAACAGGTTCACTACTGATCCCATAAGCTGAAAACTAGTTCAATCACCTGTGTTGAGGACATGAAGACCTTGGTGGCTTGAAGTCAGAGAGGGCATAATCAAACATCTCCTTTTTGATTTATTATATAGTGCATTCCTGGCATTAGTCTGCAGAACTGTTGCCTAGACAGAATAAACACTGTAGCTCCAAAATATGCACATTTGATTTACAACTGTTGGGGAAGGTCTCAAGCCTACTCCAGACCAGCTCACAGTGAATTACAAAGGTTCAAAGATTGCATGCACTGTATCTAGTTGAGCTGCTCTGTAGTTTAGTCAAGTTTCCTGCTACTGCCGTGTTTCACACCCTCAAGATACACACCACCCCATGCAGAGCACTGCCTGTCACCAACACTATCAATAAGTATTAAACACAGGACCTCCCACTCCCTGAATGTAGCCCTGAATCCATGCCACAGGAATACCATAGTAGATATGAAGCCACTCAGCAAGGAACTTGATTTGACTAAAAGGTTTTTCCATTGTTGCTTTAAGTGTAGAGTTGTCCAGTATCATTTCTGTACTTGTTGCACACAAGTACATCAGCATCCCACTCATTTCCAAAAACTTTCTAAAGTACTAGTCAAGCTTTTACCCTCATGGAGGTCTAAACATCCCAATTCTTAACTGAATAGAATTTGTGTAAAATTGTGCAGGATTATTTTTTTTAATTTCTTGACTTGATATAAACACCACTCCACTCTCACTTGGCCACTCCCTGCCCTGCTCCTGTGGCACCATTTTCACAGTTTACCCAGACCATGCTACCACAAAGCTAGTGCTCATCCACCTTTTACCATTCTCTTCAGTTCATGCTCTGACACACAATGGTTCAACAAGGAACGACCTTATTCAGATTCCAACCTCAAGACAATAATAAACACCAAGAAGAACACCAGGTCCTGCTCCTTAAACAGTTACAGTGCCACAGGCAGCTTTGAATGCTTTCTGCCAGAGCCACACCTGCATCCCTACTCTGAGGCAGAAAGCCACCATGGACACAACTCTTGTCTCAGGACAGGACCTTCAGGAAACATTCCCACAGGAAGAGTCTAAACTCTCCTCACACAACTTGTGAGTCTCAGCAGAGGCAGCACCAAGTGTCACATACTAAATGTTCCCAGTCAAATGCCACTGCTAGCTCAGGATACGCAGGGCCCAGCAGGCAGAGAAACTATTGTGACTGCACTCACCCCCCCAGCAGGATCAAAGCCAGGAGAAAAATCAAGACAAAGCACAGATTTTGCCTCTTCAGTTTCTGACGAGAAAACTCATCAGAAGAAAAGGTAATTAGTGACACCATATTCAGGAAAGCCAGCTCATCACAGGAAGAGTAACACTAGAGTTGCACAATTACATTTTATGAAGCCAGAAAAGCCCCACTTGTAATAAACCAGAAATCGCACCTAATGTTTCTCTAGATTACAAGAAGGAATCAAAAGCAACAACTACCATTTCATACAACACTATCATCTCATACAAGTGAAAGAAGCAGCCAGAAAAAAAAAGCCCATGCGTGCATAGCACCAGACCAACTCCACAATAACTCAGCATAAAAAAAGCTTTACTTTCAGGCAAGTAAATAAAACTCAGCATAAAAAAAAAAGCTTTACTTTCAGGCAAGTAACCTGCACATAAGTCTCTTGCAGTGATAGGGAGCAGAACTCTGCTCCCTTTCCCTTGAAGAACTACTGGCTCAAGCAAGTTTGAGGTGGAAAGTACCTAATTTTTCATTATAAACAATCAGCTCAGGTAACGGTATTCAAAAACAGTCAGAAGAATTCGAACATGGGGAAATCAAATACAGTTTTGACTCTAAGGAAGTTCATTTCATAAGACTGTGGTCACCTTTGTACAAACATAGTTACAGCTAGTGTCACAAACAGCACTGCAAGCTTCAGCACGGCTGCTGAAAGCTGCTAGAGCGCAATGCTACTAGCATGATTTCACAATTTGCATCAGTGGGAAAACCCACCAAAGTTCTCTCTGCTCAACCACACCACCTCAGTAATCAGTAGGAAGAAAGAGTTCCTACGTTAATGATTAAGCAGGCTTTCCTCATTCTCTCATTCCTGCAGCATGCTGTTTTCAGTAAGGAGGGCACTGTCACTTCTTTACTTAAAAAGAAACAGAAGGCAGGAACACTGGTCATTTTCAGGGTTTTATTAAGAGGAAAAAATAATATTTTCTATAGCAGTGGTCAAGAGCAAGCAGTGGAAAAGCTACAGATGTGATGCATACTCTATCTTTAGACTCTTCATAAATAGACTCTTTGTTTATATTTGTTCTTTGCAGTAACTTGCAGAAATAATTTATTTTGCAGCTTTCCAGAATGCAGTCACACCAAAGACATCATCTAGAAGAGAAAGGAAACACAGCTTCACAAAACATGGTTTTCCACTGGATATTGAGCAACAGTTCAACAATCAACAAAAAAACCCCAGCACAAACCCACAAAAACCAATTCCCATGTGTCCTAGCGCCAGAAATCTAAACTGAGGTTTGGATCTCTTAGCAGACAACAGAGGCAGCACCATTCTACTGCTCAGAGTGACTCATAGAGGCTGTGTATTGCCAAGGGCTTCACCACCCTCACAGGACAGCAATGTTGGCTGTAATGTCAATGAGGATTGCTCTGCCTTCCCTCTCATAAGGGCAACACCATCACGAGCACTACTCTGGGCCTTCCAGTGGCACCAGCTGAGGTGCCAGGGCACTTCAGAGGCAGAGGTCCTGAAGGCTGTACTCACCCCACTCAGTCCTGCTCATCTCACTCATATCTTGAAGCCCAGAGCTCTCATACACTCTTTGTGAGCTTCGATTAGGTGCCCACAATTTTCTTCTCCCTTCTCAATAATGCTGCAAAACAAAAGGATTTCCAGGGTTCAGCAATAAAATGTTCACTTACTTTTAGTCAAAGAAACAGAATTGACAAGCTGTTGGGGACAATTAAAAATCCCTATTAGGATCTAGAGATTTTCCCATCCTGTCCAGGGTAGTGCTGTGTTGGACAATATAAAACTATCCCAAAATGTTACCCAAATCTGGAGCTGTGCACCTAAAACTCTGACAACAGGCATAACAGAACTTCCTATTCACAGGCCAGGGTCTATTCTGGGCAAGTCCGGATGGGGATTTGTTATACAACACAAGACTGTCACATCATCAAGTATGCTGAGCTGGCCAGTTTCCAATTATTCAGCATGGAAGCAACAAAATTTCTCCAGTAACAGAACAATACAGAATGGGCTAATCAGTAAATTATATTTTAGTCCAACTTCAGTTGCAATTTAAGGACCCTGAAGCAAAAAGCAAAACAAAACACAACACCTGCCCAGCTATTGTTGAAAAAATGATTCACCATATATGATAACTTTTGATGTTACTCATCTATCCAAATAAAAGTCTCTCATTGTTGGTATTATCATGTATACCACAAAAGCAGTTCAGACTTGCTTTTTGACTGAATGACAGAACTGTTCAGTTTTTTTCTTAGGTTTTTTTACAATGAGCATAGACATCCCCTGGCTGCCCAGGGCAACTCCATCTGACCAGTACCATCCACCCTACCATCGTTTTCTTAAGGGTCCCTGTATTCACCCTCACTATACTATGTAATTAGACATGTTCCCCTAAACTTAGCAAAAACAGTGTTCAGTATTGTCACCTACCATCTATACCACCAGCAAAGTTAAAAAAAAAAAAAAAAAAAGAGACAATTTGGTCATCAGATTAAAGATTTTTAAACCTTAAAGATTCACTGTCAAAGGAGCTCCATTTTGAGGGTGCACTTCATACTGTTTTATAGGTCCTACAATCACGACTAAACCTGTAATTACCAATGCAGCTATACAGGTCACTGTCAAATTTTGAACTTCTCTGGGAAATGTCATCCTCTGAGCCTCAAAAAACCAGAATATTTTGCTTTATTTAAAAGAGAATGTAATTTATACTCAGGTGAACAACAAAGAAGTTATCACCTGCTGATACGCGTTGCTTCAATCAACAATAGTGAAGATCTACAAAAACCGTCAGAAGAATTCGGACATGGGGAAGCAGCATTAAAAGCTGATCTCTGAAACCTGTTTTAAACACGGGCTATGCGGTTTTAAACCATTCATTTCTACAGCGTGTTTTTACGCCAGTTTCCTCTCCTTCTCCACGCTGTCCCTCCTCCCTGGGAGGCTGCGGCAGGGAGAGCGCCCTCAGCCCCTGCGCAGGCCGGCGGGGCACGCACTCGGGGAGGAGGGAATGCGGCGGGCAGGGCGCACAGCCAGCGGCAGGGCGAGGCCCGGGCACGGAGGGGCGGCCGCGGGGAGCTCGGCGCCGGGTCCCTACCAGGCGTCCCGCGCCTTCTTGGTCTCGGGGCAGGCGCAGCAGGGCTTCAGCGGCTTCTTCTCCTCCCGCGCCTCCGCCGCGCCCTTGCCGTCGCAGCTGGCGGCGGCCACCGAGGACATGGCGGGCAGCTGCGGCTCCCTCAGCCCGCGGGCAGGACGGGCCGGCGGCCGTGCGAGCGCGGCTGGTTCCGGGAAGCCGCGGCTGGTGCCGGGAAGCCTGGCCCGCCCTTCCCGGCCCGCGGCCTGCCGGGAGGGGCAGGGCAGCCTCCCGCCCCGCCTCTTCGCGGCCGTCGCGCTTCGGCGCTGCCGCCGGTGCCGGGGCGCGAGTGGCGTACTCCAGGTCACTCGGTAATGAACGAGCCCGAAGGCACGGAGGGAGCTGGCAGCGCGGGGGAAAATAGCGTCAGGCGAGAGCAGCGAGTGACGCCCTCGGCTCTGCCAGCGCCGGCTCCACCCTTTAAGCTGTGCCCAGCCGCCTAACCTCTTCCTTCCCACCCAGCCAGCGGGGAAAACACGGGATCAGTTCATTGTGAGGGTGGTCACACGGATACAGCACACTCACCATCACTGGCATCATTAATGTCGCGGTTTCATGGCAGCGGCCCAGCAGGGCCGGCCCTTGGCATTGCTGCAAAAGGATGTGCTCTGATGCTTGATCTTTTATGTTTTCAAGCTTAAGCAACAAGAAGGGATATTTAGTTTGTGAAACAGAGAGCAACTAACGAGCTCCAAGTGCTGTCCATGCTTCAGTGATCTCAGACCTGGGAGGGAGTAAAAAGTCCTGGAAAGAAGAACGTGCACTGATACTGGACACAAAGAATGCAGAATGTACAGGCCACAAGGACATCTGGCAGAACTGCCAAGATAAGGAAGAAAGCAATAAAGTCAACTCAGCAATTGTGTTAAAATAGCTCCAACTGGGTAAAAATTAATTCTGGTAGGGGGAAATGGTGTCCACCAACTCAGGTACTACTGACCCCAGAAACCTACTGACTCAAGTAGAAGACTGAGCATGTAGACTATTTAGCATGAAAAGCGTGAAAATCATTAACCATAAAAGATAGAATACTAATTTATAAGAGAAGTATGTAACTTGTAAGCAATGAACATTAATTCCTTTGTTTGCTAAAATGTATAAATAGCAAAAAGCTTTGGTACTTGGTGTGCTTGATCTGTGGAATACCACAGAACACCCAGGTTTGCACAACTCTAAAATAAATAATCAGTATCTCTGCTGAGTGTGTAATTACTGGGTTGTTGCATACCAGGTAATGTATCCAACTTTTGTGGACAACAGCATGGGCAATAAAGGAGAAGATACAGAGCTGCTTTTCCTTTGTAGTCTGTCCCAATCCGAGGCATCAGAAGCCACTCTTGCCTTTTAGATCTCTGCCACATACAAGCCACAGCTTGGCTTTTAGCTCTTAGGCCATAGTCTGTCACCTCCCAGTGGTACATTTTTGTTTGTCACCAGTCCTGATGACTCCAACGTGATACTTACACATATTAGTCTGGCAGGCACACTGCAGACCAAAGCGGTGACCCACACAGGTAATGGGGGAAGGGCAGGACAGCAGTGGATGTGACACTGCTGAGACCTTGCAAAGGGATGCAGCTCCTGTGCCTTTAAGTGGGGTGTTGTAAGAGTCAAAAAAGAACTGGCAGTTTCTATCATGTACTAAGGGGATCCAAAATCATAGGAACACTGACAAGAGCAAGGAGGAACAGAAAGTGTCATGTAATTGTAGCACTCACTCTCTCACTCACTCACTCACTCACTCACTCACTCACTCACGCACTCACTCACTCACTCACTCACATAATCACCACTGAGTTATCCATGGATCTCTGCTCAGTAGCCTGTTCCCCACCATGCCATTTCTCTGGCAAGGTTGTTCAGGTGACCAGCACCCACACAGCCTTAAGCACATGTGCATTGTGAGGCCATGCCAGGTGTGATGATCTGGAATATGTACAGGTTGCACTTGTTGACCAAAATATGATTTTCCCAAATTCACACAAACATGCTGCAAGATAAAAGCCGAGATTGAAACATCTATCAAAAGCACACATCAGTTCTCCAAAGCAATGCCTTGTTCCTAGTTTGTTAAACATACTAAGCATGTTTTCCTTTAAAATTAAATATCTTTCTCTTTCCTTCCTAAAGCTTTATTTGCTGACCACTTTCCAAAGGCCTAAATAGAGTTGTTGATAGCTCTATCTAGCACAAACTTTGAGGGAAAGACTGTAATAAAACCTCCAAGAGGGTTTCTCAAGTTAGCAGTTGAATCGTATCTTTTATTTAGCTTTTTTAATATTAAAAACAAAGTTTGAAAGTCATTGATTTGGCCTGTAGAAGCCAGGAAGACACAAAGCAAAATACATTTTATACTCTGGCCCAAGTTATGGAATGTCAAGGGAAGAGGGAGATTAAAATTTAGTCATCATCATCTCTCAGATGACTTTAGATGGGTCTGCACAAAAGGTATGGCCTCTGAAGACTAAACATCTCTGGAAGCAGCATTCCACTCTAGCAGCCTTCCAAAGGCTAAGGAGGAGCACTGCTATTTTGGCCATGTTCCCTGCAGGGTGTTTGTACAATTCTCTTTGTAACAGAATTGCCCCAGAAAAAGGAATAATTTTTTGGTGGGATGAAAGGACAGAGGCTGGAAGGGAGGAGAAGGAAAAAGAATATCCATTAAAGCATGGTTAACACATCTCAATACTGATTGCACCCATTTGGAGTACAATGCAGAGGCGAGACCACAGCCATTTCTCTTCTGACACTGCACTGTGCATAAGAATTGATTGTTAACTCAGTCATTTTTGTTTTCTATTTCTCCTCTGCCTACTGACAGTGGCAGAAGAATTATGTTAGAGAGCTATGTGTCAGAATGAACAGATTTATCTAGTAGACAAGAAGAAATAGCTAAGGGCTGGCTACTGAGATGAGGCTGCGAGAAAATTGCCAGAACAAGTACCCAGGAAAAAAGATCCAGTGAAAATCTCAGTCTCTGAAAGAGATAATGAGAAAAGACCCTCCCTCAAGCTGCAGTATCATTTGGCAGCCTGGTGCCATATGTCAGAGTACAAGGACTGCAGGGTAGCACTGGACATTTACAGCTCTTGACTTAAAGGACTAATGGGTGAAACAGGGAGAGACTACCCAGCTGTCATGGGTTTCCAAATTATTTCCTCTGTACAGCCCTTTATCAGAGTTGAAGAATATAACAGCAGTGGCTCATACTGTGTGAACATCACAGCAACACTGCGTCATTGCCACTGGCTTCCTGTGTATTCAGTTTCACCCACTAAAAGAATGGTTACCCAAAAAGATGTCCTTGTCTCCAATGGACAGATTTTTCAAGGAACCTCAAAAGTGTATTTACATTCATTATTGCTGTTAGGTTGGGTAAGCCCCTATCAATGTCGGTTGAAAGTAACAGTCTAGGGCAGTCTGGGGTTTTCCAGGTTTTCTACACTTCTGAATTACATGATAGGAGGTACATTAAGCTTTGGAAATTTTGTGTGATGAAACTGAGCTGAAGGTATTTTGATATTTTCCACGTATTGCCTATTCTGGGAACCACTTTATTATCTTGAAAAAAGAAACCTGTTCAATATAGTCTAAAGAAGTACTTTTGGTTTTGACTGAGTATAAACATAAGACAGCCAAGGCTCCAGCAGCCCAGCCAACCATATGCTGTGTGTTTTACTGTCAAAGAAGTTGTTTATGTTTTGTGTTAATGCTTAGATAACATGAAAATAAAGGATTTCAAAGCTCTGAGCAAGATGTCTTGTCAGGACCCTGCTGCCTCTTATATCAACTGCCCAAGAACAGGATAGAGTTTCTCTTTCTGATCAAAGCTGCAGACCTGCAACTGCCAAATGCTATCGCTCAGCAGTGCAACCAGATAGAAAATGAATGCTGGGATAGAAGGGCTTGTGCTCCAGTCTAGTACAATGGAAGAGACTCTAAAGTCATTATTTACACTCCCTCTAAGCTTCAAACTCCATCTTTATGTGAAGACAAGGGGTTCAAGCACAGGACTGATATCACCTCAAGAAGCAGGGCACCAGTTCCTTCCCAGACTGAAGAGGCAAATCCTCCTGTTTCAGGACTACAGTATGAATTCTGTACACAATGATTCTGTACCACAGGACTGAACCATCCCCTTCTTGGAAGACCACCTTGGAAGTTAATATGGAGGAAGTCTCCTTGCCCTGGAAAGCAAGCCCTTAAAAACACAAGAGCAGAATCAAGATTACTTTAAAGGCATTTTTGTCTCTTGAATGCTCTACAAAGCCAGTACTGCAACAAATCATCTCTTGCCAGAAACACAGCCAAATCTTCAGAGCATCAGCCTGGAGGTGGAAGGCACTTTGAAAGAATGAAGTCACCTTCCAGTTTAAAACCAGAACTGCTGTCTCTAACAGCAAGACTCAGTTCACAGCATCTCAGACGTTCTGGGGTCTCATTCTGGGACCAGGACTCTGGCCCCGCCCTCCCCAGTAAAGAAGACAGTGACCCTCCTACAAGCTTTGGTATAAACTTAAAAGGTATTAATACCTTCCTCACATTGTTTTCTGCACATCTCTCACCAGTTTGTGCTAGCATTAGGACTATCATCACTTTCATACTATGCCCCTGCTTGTCACTGTCCATTGAAAGCATATCCAAACATATTAGTAAAGATTTTGCCATGCATGCTACACTGCAAAATCTGGATCAGCAAGTTCAGTGTGCAGTCTCCCTGGTAATAAGGCAAAAGAAGGAAGTTGTTTTGTTCTGTGCCACAAAATAACCTGCCTGCCCCACATATGTTAGAAGCAGGAACTATGAGCCTTTAGACACAAGACATGTGGCAGCTTTCCATCATGCAGATATGCAGCAGATCATGTTCAATGTGCATTTAAAGGCAAGTCAGGCTTATTTCAGTGCTTGCTGGGGTGACTGACCAGCTGTTCATAAAAATCTGAGCATTTTGGAAAAAATCTTATTGCACAGACTCATGGGAAGGACAGGTATTTGCACTCAAATGGCTGCATCTGTTACCAACACAACAAAAGATCATGACAGAAGACAACTGTATGTTCTCTGATATTATCTACACATAGTAACTTAGAAAACTTTAATCTGCATTTGGGAAAAAAACCACTAATCCTCCAAAAGACATGAATCTGCAAAGGACTGTCCCTACACTGCAGTAAGGCTCATTGTTTTTGGGTAAAGATCAGGAAAAAAAA